CAGTCATACCTCAGGTTACAGATGCTTCAGGTTGCGTTTCTTCAGGTTGCAGACTGCCGAAACCCAGAAGTACCTGAACAGGTTACTTCCGGGTTTTGGCGGTCGCACATGCACAGAAGTGCCGAGTCGCAACCCGCGTGTGTGAAGACGCACCACTGCGGGTTGTGGACGCTGCGGGTTGCGAACGTGCATCCCGCACAGATCACATTCGCAACCTGAGCGTCCACTGCACAAAAATCTTAACCTGCGGGCTTTATTCAGACAAAGTATCTATAAAATGAAATTAAAGAATGCAATCCAGTAGATTTACTAAAAATAGAATGAATCAAGACATCCTTTAGAACACCTGAACACCACAAGCCACTAGGGAACTGAAACTGAACTTTTTCTAGTTCCTTTTTCTTTTATTTTGTAATTAGAGGTAACAGTACAGTCCAGAGTGTAGTTTGAAAGCAGCTGGCACTTATAAGATGTCCTGACCTTCTGTGGAGGAAGAACAGAGTGATACAAACCAAATAAATACATATAGGTGGCATATTGTATGCCACCAAGGTCAGTGTCATGATGGCATGCTCCCAACTATGCTTCAGATTTAATGGTACAGCACTAAACTAGAGATGCAGAAAGTTCTCATATTCAAACCCCACATCCCTAGTTTAAAAACATTAAAGTTCTGTATGTATTGCTTTTCTCATCATTGTAATGTTGCAGTGTTCAGTAAAAAAGTATCTCTTGATAGCAGCATTCCATGCAACTAATAATGGCGCATGAATCCTAATCCTTGCTGAGTCAGACAAGCCCAATAATCAGCTACTGAAACTGTCAGTTAAAGGCAACATAGTGTTATACAATGCAAAACACCAGCAATTCACATTCCCAACCCTTGAAAATTCAAGGACTGAAGCGGGGAACAATGTACTGCCATATGGAAATTTTAATGAACCCGATTATCATGTAATACAGTATAATGCAGTATAATACAGACCCCACAATTTTCCTATAAAGCAATTCCCCCACCCCTGAAAAAAATGTGCCATGCAATGATAACTAAAGAAAAATAATGAAACATATATAAATAGCCTTCCAACTTAGAAGTGTCCTAACTTCTGTGATGAGAGTAAATAATTAATAGCTTTTGCTATTAAAACTACAGGCAGCGACAATTTTGCATGAGTTTCGTTACTGACACCCCCCACCCACCCCACATTTTTTCATTAAATTTTTTCACATTCCATTCAATTTACTCATACAATCATAATCATCTACTTCCCTTCTCCCCCCCTTTCTATGGCTCTATATATTTACCGGGTACCCTTTACAACTGCATATTCTGGTTATTCCATATGTTTTATTTTCCTTCCTCTTCATTATATCTTTATATACTTTAAACCGCTGAATTTACTCCAGCCCTGCTGACATTTTAATCTGTTTAACATGATTCTTCAGCTATTCTGCAAACATTTTCTACCCATCCAGCCCTCTTCCTGGTCTAAAAAAACCCACACATTGGCGGTCAAACATCAATTTTATGTGCACAAAATGGTTGCTGCCTGTACTTTGGAAGAGACTCAGTAAGTAACAGAAAACAATTCCTACCTGGAAGTGGGAGTTCATGTTTTGCCTGGAGAGCGGGGGAAAGTGCATGAGAAATCCTGGTTATGTCCTATGTTGGCCTATGGGAAGCACATGCTTGCAAAACAACGAAGGAAATTCCTCCTATTCAGTCATTTGTAGGATGCAGAAAGGAGGCTCAGTGTGGCTTTATACTTGCCCATGTACAAGCCCAGATGTGGAAAAATAAGTTTTTTTCTATTACGTTGGTTTATGTGATTGGAATTTTCCCCAGATCCCACTCCTAGTCTTGATGGTCTGAATTTCTATCTTCTTTGTCACAATTTCTGATTTTTTTTAATTCAATTTATATCATAACTGGTGATTTAGCTTCAGGCAGGGACTAGACAGAACAAGCAGTCAGGATGCACAACAACCCCCTGAGTACTTGAAGGTTAGGCAGCCTCAGAGCCTTTAGACTACAAAAACGTTCTGCAGCTACCACTATACACATATATTGTAAACAATTAAGAACTGCATACAATGGTACCTCGGGTTAAGTACTTAATTCGTTCCGGAGGTCCATTCTTAACCTGAAACTGTTCTTAACCTGAAGCACCACTTTAGCTAATGGGGACTCCTGCTGCCGCCGCGCCACTGGAGCACGATTTCTGTTCTCATCCTGAAGCAAAGTTCTTAACCCGAGGTACTATTTCTGGGTTAGCGGAGTCTGTAACCTGAAGCATATGTAACCTGAAGCCTATGTAACCCGAGGTACCACTGTACGCATGTTTGGGCTAAAGGTGGGTCCCAATTCTGGGCCGATCCATTTTGTCCCCATGCTGTTTAGCAGCTATATGAAACCACTAAGAAGTCACCTAGGAAATTTGGAGTAAAGTGTCATCTACACTTGGTTCCACACCTGGCCATCACACTGTGGGTTGCACTTAGTGTCTTGAGCCTAGGTTGTGTTGGTCTGCTACCTACCTGTAACTTGAACTAAGGTTGTGATCAGTGATTTAGGGATGGTGGCAAATAGAGTGAAACTTAAATGGGTAAGAGAGGTGTTTATGATTGGGGAATCACCTGATCTAGGAGTAGGTTACAGCCTGCTTGGGTTCATAGATTGAAGGTAGTCTTGGCGCTAATGCTGTCTGTGAATATTCAACTGACAGGGGCATCTGGTGTCTTTTCCCAGTTTAGGTCTGTGATGATAGCTGAAACTTTTCTTGGTTAGCAATGATATGCGCATTTTCACTCACATTTTAATAACATCCAATTCAGACTATTTCAATGTGCTCTGTGGGGGACTGCCTTTGAAAAGCATTCACAAGCTAAACTAGTTCTGAATGCAGCACCAAGAATATTAACAGAAGCTTACTACTTCAAGCATACCACGACTGCGTTGTGTCAGTTTCATTGGCTCCTAGTGGGTTTTTCAGCCCAGTTCAAGTGCTGGTTTTGATCTTTACCGCTCTAAAGGAGCTGCAGTCTCCTAATGGGCTGTCTCGTCCCAGATCTATCTTTTCATCTTGAGCATATTTCCCCCATCATCTGAAGTGTAGCCAGTAGCCATGAAAGTCAAGGCATTTTTGTAGCAGAATGCCCCACTACTCACAGTGGTGGCTGGTGCCTTTTGGGTCTAGGAGGATGGAAAGCACAGAGACCAGTGGAAGGTGGGGCCAGATGCCATGAAAGGCACAGCCAACTAATTCTAGTTTTGTCTCTGTCTATCCTTCTCACTAGGGGACGTGGGTGGCGCTGTGGGTTAAACCACTGAGCCTAGGACTTGCCGATCAGAAGGTTGGCGGTTCTAATCCTTGCGTCGGGGTGAGCTCCCGTTGCTCGGTCCCTGTTCCTGCCAACCTAGCAGTTCGAAATCAAGTAGATAAATAGGTACCGCTCCGGCAGGAAGGTAAACGGTGTTTCCGTGCGCTGCTCTGGTTCGCCAGAAGCGGCTTAGTCATGCTGGCCACATGACCCGGAAGCTGTACAACGGCTCCCTCGGCCAATAAAGCGAGATGAGTGCTGCAACGCCAGAGTCTGTCATGACTGGCCCTAATGGTCAGGGGTCCCTTTACCTATCCTTCTCACTACTGAGTTTCAGAAAGGCAACCTGAGACAAGGAGAAGGAAACTATCAAACAGGGCGACCCACGAAGATGGTTACTGTATAAGTAAGAAGGCAGCTGGGGGGGGGGGGGACTGAGGTTATAGGACCAACCTAATATATTATCCTCCCTCAGTAAAGGTTCTGCTGTTTTGGAAATTAAAATTGTTTGTTTTTAAACATTATTTCAAAAATTGTAGCTTGCCATAACTCCAGTAACTAGTTAAATAAATCATTTCTGTCCTAATTTTCTATAAAGCAACGTGAAACTGTAAGCATATGGATTTAAATAGCTATTTGAATGTAACGCTGCATATATTAATACGTAATAATAATAGTTGCAAACCAATCCTGCGAGTGTTTACTGTCGAGGGAATGCTACTGTGCTCAGTGGGACTGCGCAACTCTGAATTTCAGCCAAATAACCCAATCCTAAATTTACCCGTAAGTAAATTGAACTATGTTGTGGAGGATTGGGGGGTACGTGTGTGCCATTCCCTAGTCAGGGTCGCAGCTCACGTTGGTGAGTTGTTGTTTTTGTTCTTCTACCCGCCTAATTTGGGTCTCTCGGCACTTTTCCTGAAATAAGTATCTCCTCAGTTTCCCGCCTTCTTCCCTCTCTCGCGCGCGCTCTCTTTCCCTCAAGCCTTTCGAATGCAGCGGCTTCTCCCAAGGCAAACGCCAGAGGGCAGGCGGGGGCCACGGGAAGCACAACCCCCAAACGGCAGCCCGCCCCCTCCCTCTTCGCCCCCGGCCCAATCGATGGGGGCGGCGGCTCTGCGCTCGGCTCCCCAGCCCTTGCCTCTCGGCTCTGGATTAGCAAAACTGGCGACGTGGGACAATCCCCCGGGCCCGGCCCCTTCTACACACACACGCACTCACACAAACACGCGGGCGCGCGCGCGCACTCTTCTCCCTCCCTCCCTCTGCCTTTCTCGCGCACACCCCTCCGCCCAGCCAGCCGACTCGGACGAGGTGAAGCGGGGACTCCAGCTGCTGGCGATACCAGTGACGGGGCTGCCTCGTCCCTCCTTCAGGCGCTGAGGGAGGGCAGCAGCCGACACGGCCTGCGAAAGAAAGGGAGGCGCTCCCGCCGCGTCCCAGAGAGAGAGAGGCTGAGAACTCGCAGGGGCGAATCGTGAGGAGAATAAAAGGGTCCCGGCGGGTGAGGCGGAGGAGACGCTGCTGCCTCCAGGCGAAGGGAGCAGCGCCGCCAGCCGAGTGGGCGGGCAGGACCTGCGGGCCGGGGGGTTGGGGGGCGTGAGCTGCGTCTGGTTGGCGGCGCTGTGGGGCGGCCCGCCCGCGTCCCCCATCCCCGGCTGGGCGGCGGCGGCGGGACCATGGCGCTGCTGCGGGCCCGCGCGCTGTACGACTTCAAGTCGGAGAACCCGGGCGAGATCTCCCTGCGGGAGCACGAGGTGCTGAGCCTGTGCAGCGACCAGGAGATCGAGGGCTGGTTCGAGGGGGTCAACAGCCGCGGAGACCGGGGCCTCTTCCCGGCCTCCTACGTGCAGGTCATCCGAGCGCCCGTGGCCGAGCCCCCCGCGCCTCTGCCCGTGCCGGCCCCGGCCCGCTACGCCAATGTCCCCGGCGGAGGCTTCGAGCCCCTGGCGGCGGTGGTGGCGGCGACGTCGCCCGCCACAGCCTTCAGCAACCCTCCGCCGGCCCAGCAGCAGCACCACCATCACCACCACCAGCAGCAACACCAGCAGCTCCCTCCGCCGGCAGAGCCCTTCCAGCTGCTGCCTCCTCCACCGGCCACGTCGGGCTTCTCTTCCTTCCAAGCGGTGCCTCCCTCCTACGGAGGGTCCTCCTATCAGACCAGCCAAGGCAGCGACGACGACTGGGACGATGACTGGGACGACAGCTCAACGGTGGCGGACGAGCCGGGCGTCCTGGGCAGCTCGTACCCGGACTACGAAAACGCGGGCATGGGGGTCGGAGGCCCCGGTGGCTCCTCTGGCAGGTACCGCCTCTCCACCCGCTCCGACCTGTCGCTGAGCTCCCGGGGCAGCCAGCCCGGTGCTCACCTGCACCACCCAGCCGCCGGCGGCGCCAAGAGCTCAGCCACGGTGAGCCGCAACTTGAACCGCTTCTCCACTTTTGTGAAATCCGGCGGCGAGGCCTTCGTGCTTGGAGAGGCATCTGGTTTCGTGAAGGATGGTGACAAGCTGTGTGTGGTGCTGGGCACCTACGGGCCCGAGTGGCAGGAGAACCCATACCCTTTCCAGTGCTCCATCGAAGACCCCACCAAGCAGACCAAATTCAAGGGCATGAAGAGCTACATCGCCTACAAGCTGGTGCCGAGCCACACTGGGCAGCAGGTGCACCGGCGCTACAAGCACTTTGACTGGCTCTACGGGCGCCTGGTGGAGAAGTTTCCGGTCATCTCGGTGCCGCATCTGCCGGAGAAGCAGGCCACGGGGCGCTTTGAGGAGGACTTCATCTCCAAACGCCGCAAAGGCCTGGCCTGGTGGATGGACCATATGTGTAGCCATCCGGTGCTTGCGCAGTGTGATGCCTTCCAGCATTTCCTCACCTGCCCGAGCACCGATGAGAAGGCCTGGAAGCAGGGCAAGCGGAAGGCTGAGAAGGACGAGATGGTGGGCGCTAACTTCTTCCTCACAATTAGCGTGCCTGCTGGTGGTCCTGCTGCTCTGGACCTGCAGGAGGTGGAAAGTAAAGTCGATGGCTTCAAGAGCTTCACCAAGAAGATGGATGACAGCACCATTCAGCTGAACCAGACAGTCAATGAGTTTGCTCGCAAGCAGGTTACTGGCTTCAAGAAGGAGTACCAGAAAGTGGGGCATTCCTTCAAGGGCCTCAGCCAAGCCTTTGAGATGGACCAGCAGGCTTTTTCAGTTGGCCTCAATCAGGCCATTGCCTTCACTGGGGAAGCTTATGATGCTATTGGTGAACTCTTTGCGGAGCAACCCAGACAGGACCTCGATCCTGTGATGGATTTGTTAGCTCTGTATCAAGGACATCTGGCCAATTTCCCAGACATAATCCATGTCCAGAAAGGTAATGTAGTTTTAACTATATCAGCTTACCTCTATCACCCAATTAAATTTGTATAATAGAAGTTAGACTTCTGAGTTATTGTAGTAAAATGTTCCAGAGGAGTATAGTATCTGTGTTTGTTGCATCAAAACTAAACAGTCCTGTAGCACCTCAAAGACGAATAATGAATGGCCACTATGCTAATCTTGTACAGTATACACTTGACTTAAGTTCTGCCACCAGGATTACATTGCCTTTTGCCCCCCAATGTTTGCCTTTTTCTCCCCTTTGTACCAATATGCATATATAATGGACCAAGTTATTGAAGATAACCTCATGTCAAATTTGGTTCTAGATTTGATTTTAGGCCACAGTCCTTTGCACACCTACTGGGCATAAACTTCACTGGTTGCAGTACTTCTGAGTAAGCATTATAGGATTGGGCTATAAAGTTATTAAAGACTATGGCAGCATAAAATTGTTAGTCTTTAAGGTGGCACAATATGCTTATTTTTGGTAAAACACTGGAGACAATTCTGCCTCAGAAGTTAGCCTCTTCTGATAGGATTTATGGACTCAAGTTATTAAGGAAGTGCTGAATTTAAGGATGCTTGTTTTGAACCCTTAATGGTATGTTATTACCCTACCCTGCTCCCCCAAGCAGGAAACTATACTTGCCTATCATACTCAGGATTTGTGTTTGTTTGTAAAACAGGAGTGTAGTGAAGTACTGAGCAGTATTTTAAAAGAGTATACTTGTTTAATTGTGTCAGAGAGACCATTGCTTACTGTGTACCTTGTGAGTAGCTTCAGGGTTTTTTAACAAGGCGAAGTCAGCCACAGAACACTTTAATTAATTTCAAGCCACATATGAGTTGTTTGGATCATTAATTAAACGAACATTAATGTATCACAAAGGAGCTTTTTAGAAAAACAAATACACTCTCTGCTCTGTCTGGATTTAAGGTTCACATTAGGGATGGGGAGCCTGTGACCTTCCAAACATTGCCCAACTGCAACTTGTACCACTCCTAACCATTGGCCCTGCTGAGTACAGCTGATGCGAACTGGGAGTTGAACAACAAGCTGCAGGGCTGCAGGTTCTCAGTCCCTGTAAGATTTGGATGCTTGGGCTTTGTTCCCATAACCACTTTGTAAGATTTGGTCATAGATGTACAGCTATCTAGTACATAAGTAGTTAACATTTCCAGGGTGGATTTTCTTCAAAGGCATGTAGGATTCTCTTTGTTTCCTTGCACCTGGTTTTCTACTGTTCTAATGTTTCTCTATTTTAGATTTTAGGCCAGTTTACATAAATGAAACCTAATACAATACAATCTAATACAATTCAGAGCTATGTGATGAGGTTTGACTTCCTCTGTACAGATACAGCTGTGAAGTTAGTACCCATTCTTGACAGTGTGTTCATCACCTTGGTGTCTAATTTCTCTGTGCAGCTCTAATCAGTTAATGTGTTCCACATATCAAGGGCCAAGGATAAAAATGTCAACCTTTGTGGTTATCACTCCAGTCAGGACTATTTTCATCCAGATAGAAAAACTTAATATAACAAAACACAGTGAAAAGAGAGGTGGGAATTTTCACATGACATTCAAATCTGTTGAGGTAGGTCTTCCAGGAATATACAATTATTCTTGAAATCAACTGTAACTTGAGTATTACATGCTAGGAGCCTATAAATACATTGCTAATAAACCTTTTCGGCATTTGATGTTAGTGTATTGATAAATGCTCTCATGGTTGCATTTGTATATTAATGCCAAATACATTGTAATCAATGCTGTTGACCTTAATAGAGGTTGACTTTTTTTGTCAATGGATTATAGTATGAGGTTTTCCAATTGTGTACATGATGGATGATAAATTGTGACTTCTAAAAGATAATGACACTCTGAGAATACTATTAACCTACGTTTCACATTTGAACACTAATTTCTCACAGTAGTTGCAGCAAAATGCAAGTTGGACCATTAACATGCAAGTGCTTCATGATTCCTAATGATTCTTAATCTTTATATAGACAACTTTTCAAAAATTGCCATTTGAAGGAATACCTGCTTCCATCAGGTTATAGGCTATGTATTGCATTACAGTGCCATTCTTCAAACTCATTTGAAATGCTGTCTGCACCTTCAGGGACAATGTGATTGGTGTGTGCCTTTACATTCGTGCTACAAGAAAGGACTTGGTGGATGCTATTCATTCACACTATCATCATAATTCAGAAAACATTTAAAATATGAAAACATACTAACATTTTCACTGTCATTTAAGTGCTTTTGCTTGGGGCGGTATTTGTAGCTGGATTATTGATTTAAATGCAAGTTATTTTACATGGATAGGGCTGAGGGTTTGTCTTATGAAGGAAAAAGCAATAATGGATACCTGCCAGCTCTTGAAAAGATTGGCTTGTAAGTCAGCCCATTTGAGTAGAATTAATGTGTGCCATGGATTCGTGTTGGCAGACACTAAGTCAGTTAAAAATGGAAGTAGTTGTAGTGCAGATATTATCAAGCTGTTACTTGGCCACCTTACATGTATTACTTGTGTGCCTGCCTAAATACTGTAAATCAGCCTAGATGTAAACCCACTGCAGAGTTTTCTGCTGACATTATCTCAAGATGCAGTACCTTATGCCAGCATAACTTGTGCCCCTTCAAACTAAGCACAACCTACTGGCCATGTTTAGTGACCTGCCAGGTGTTTGACAAGGCCCTGCTTGATTCCCAACCAACAGGAGGTTAACTGAGATCTTGCTAGGCTAGTATACATGACTGGCGACCTACATTTGGCTTGCTGAGTCACAGATGATGCATGTCTGACCCACTTCCTCAATAATTTGTCCGCATTTCACAGTGTTTCACTCAAATCCTTACATAGCATGCTACAGCTTAAACAATTTCTCAAAAATATTTGTTTCATTTGCTAAGTATATAAGCCATATGCTGTTTATCAAAATGGAGTGTATATAGTGGATAATGCTCTGGAGTTGGAGATGAGAGGCTGAGAGTCTCTGCTCAGATTTGAGTTTACTTATTGACTTTGAGTAACTCCCATTATCTCTCTGCCTTGCAGGGTTGTTGTGAGGATAAAATGGATTAAACCTGTATACACTGCCCTGTGCCCTTCTAAAAGAAGGGTAGTGTGTAAATATAAAATAAATACAACCTGTAATAAAATCAGTAGAGCCTTTCATGACCACATAATTACTATTATTAGCAATAGTACTTATGTTGGGCAGAACTCAGTAAGCTCCTTGGTATTCCTGGGAGCAGTGAAACAAGTAGGAAGATGGCTAGAGTGCAAATGGTAGAAGACTTGAAGTGAATCTACAGTGTTAGAGCTCATTATTAAGTCTACTCGGTGTCTGTGATGACAGCAAAGAAGCTGTTATTTTCTAACATTGTTATATATCCTCACATTACTGTCCGTTGGAGTTTTTTGGGATGGTGTGGGGCATTCTGCCCATCTGACGATACTAAACTCTTGGAGGTCCACTGTGATGGGTTTGCAAATTTAGCACAACCTGAAAAAACAAATCAAGGATAAAATTGCTGGCATCTATCATGGCTAGGACATCACAATTGAATTGAGTCAGTCACCACATAGGGGAGCAGTGTTCACCCTGTGCTATATGTGGTCCCATGTCTCCTGCAAGGACAGTTTTGTCACTTACAGGTGCTGCTTGATCCAGATTTGTCATTAGAAGTGCAAGTTGCTTTTAAGTTTTACCAACTTAGACTGGTATGCCAGCTGCAACCCTCTTTGTCCAGAGATAGCCTGGCCTCAGTTACCCATGCTCTAGTGACCTCCAAGTTGCACTACTCTAATGCACTACTCATAGGTGGAGCTGCCTTTGAAGACAATACAGAACCTGCACTTAGTACAGGCAACTGGGGTAGAGTTCCTGGCCCTTGCGCATGTCTGCAGAGCATGTATAACCCCCCCCCCCGTTATGTCCCACTCCCGTTATGCCATTTTCCAAGTCCAAAATGACCCACTCATCAGCGGTCGCGTGCCAATTGAACACGTGCAAAATGGTTGCTGCCTGTACAAAAGTGGCTGGTAGCTCACTAACGGTTTGGGCATTATGAGCATTTTAGGCCAGCTATACTCCAGTCTATTTCTAGTGCAATTCAAAGTACTGTACAAGTTTTGACCTGTGAAACCTTTTACACTTAGGAGCAGGGTTGAAGGATCACCCTTCTCCATATGCATCTGTCCATGGTTTAGGGGATATGACAGCTAGACCGTTTTTTGTGCAAGTTGTGAGGGTTAAAGGAAATGACACCAAGTGTCCAGGAGCTTCATTTACAACCCTCACTTATGTCTGCAATAGATGTGACTGGTCACAGGGTGTATCAGTATAGCTAGTTAAGCAAGTAAAAAGCTTTAAATGAATTTTTAAATGCCAGCTGTGGTGTGGGTGAAAGTGCTTATGTGGTTGCTGAAAATGGAGTATGGTAATAATTTATTTTACGTTAGCATATTTCATCAAATCATTGATAAAATTTTGTATAGACTTGAGAAGCAAGCCATGCTTGCTCACATACACTACAGCACAATAGGAGGCAATCTTAAAGGTTAATAGATAATGTGCTACTTTTTCTTCCAGTTATCCTGGTAGCCCATTCTTATAGATACAAACTCCATTAAAGACTAAAGTTGATTTAAAGCCCATGCTTAGCACTGTAATGTAGTTTAGACCAATGAAACATTCTCTCAGGGTTTTAGCTTGCCAAAAGTGATGCATTGCCTGTGTGAAAATATTTCTGAGAACTTCCTTTTCATTCCACTCCCCACCCCACCCCTGCAATGTTATTAATGGAAGTAAGCAGCCTTCCTTATACCCACACAGCAAGGATGAATTCCCATCCGCAGTGCCACATGTGTGGACCCTCCTACTCTTCTCTTTACCAACTAGGGGAGGGTGGGGAGTGGAAGATGGATCTCTCATCTATTTAGTAGCAGGCAGAAGGCACACAAATATGGCTCTCATTGATTTTGTGCCATAGCTCCTGTTCTCTGACATAAGCACAGGGGTCATTGACAAGCATATATCATGGCTGGCTAGAAAGCTAAACTAAAATTTACAAACTTTTGAGAATGATGCATTGGTCCTTTTGTGTGTAGTGAAAAAGCTGAAAAAAATACTGTTCTAACATTTCACAAGAAAGTATCCATTAACATTTGATGTATTGGAGTGAAACACTTTCCCAAAGTCTGGTAAGCTTCTCAACTGCACAATACTATGCATGTGTACTCAGAAGTAAGTTAAGTGAAGTTACTCTCATGGTAAATACTGGATTGTCACCTAAGTTACTCATAATGAACCGCCCTGAGACCCCCAGGTGTAGGGAGGTATATAAATTCAATAAATAATAATAATAATAAATTATTTATTTAGAGCATTTATGCCTCGCTCTTGAGCCAAAAAGGCTTCCAGAGCAGCTCACATATGGTCAGTTAAAGCAGACATGAACTCCTGAAATGTTCATTTTTGTGAGTTTTTATTATGTACCAAAATAATTTGCATTGAGGGAAATTGTTAGATTTTTCACCTTGTAAGTCAATTGCAGTAGTTTGAACATTGAAAAACATGGAAATCTAAACATGATGAGTACCTTGATAATGATTTCAATCAATTTGCACTAAGCACTTCTAACTTCGACTGGTGTTTGGTTTCAAACTGGCTCTCTAGGGATTTAGGCAGAAATTTTTCCCAGCTCTGCTTTGCCAACTAGAGAGGCTGTAAATTCAGTTTGCACCACCACACATGGAAAGCATAAAAGCACAAAAGGATTAACAGGTTGCCCATCACAATCCACTGGGGTGAAACAAGCTGCAAGTCCAGTTGAATAAGTACATTTCTGCTACTGGGCCTACGAAAGCCTTGTGTGTCAATTTTGAAATAGCTGAAGTTCCTAATGATTGTTTCCCACAGGCATTGTTTCTTTCTACGTAACTACGAGTCAGGTTCCTTAAGCATTTGTACCTGTTCTTGCCTGGAGTGTAGTTTTGTAAGTAGTGGACTAGGATGTGTGATGGTATTGCAGAGAAGGAAAGGGGTTTCTTCATAAGTGGTAACATGAAAGTGTTTCCTTATTTCAGCCAGAAACCACCACCTACAACTTTATTGGGAAATACATTTACAATTCCTAGTGCATGTCTGTTTAAAAAAACAACAACCTGTCAGCCAAATTCTTAACTGTCTGTTACTAAAGCTGGAACATATGTTGAAGCAACTGATAATTTAAAAAGTTCAACCAGTGTGACATTTTGCCAGAGTTGAAAGATAATGAATTTCATGGATCAGGTTTCAGCACAAAAGTGGAAACCTCTGATCTGAATTTTCATCCACAGAACCTGACTGCAAACTCGAGTTTTGTTTGATGCAAGGCTGTTGTTCTACATCTGCCTTCAGATTTATGCAGATAATGTGTCCCACACTAATTTCAATCATCAGGAGGCAAAACAAACTACAAAAGCACTTATACTGAATGGCTTTCTTTAAGGAGCAAGTAATCTGGCCCCTACTTTGTAACATCAAAGACCATTATTTTCTTTGCAGCCTGAAAGCTCAGATTGGTGGCCAGTATCTAGAGGAGTGAGCACACACAGAAACTGATGTCATAACTGCACTGTAAAAGCTCAGAAAGCAGTTGGGGATTGCACAAGAGCAGTTTAAAAGGGATCTTGGGGCAAGGGTGGGGATACTGTATACAGGCACACCAGTGACAATGCCCTTTGGGGGATTTGGTACTGGGGGAGGTAAAGAAAAACTCCCACTGGTGTGTGTACACTATTGGTCAAATTACCGGTATTCTCAAACCAGACTACATTCTTTAATAAATACAGAATATGCACACTGATCTTTGAACTCTCATGGGTTTTAAGGAGTACTTTCTGAATTCTGTGATGAAAGGGTTTTGAAGTAGAAGTGCTACAATAAAAGCAACTTGGTGGATACCCCAAATAGCTGCACCCTCCACTGATTTTAGCTTTCCATTCTCAAGCTTGTACATTTAAAAACTTGCATTGACAGGATAAAAAATTTAGGATGGTGTTTGTTCCAAAAGTTAAAATAGAAACACAGGGGTTTTTTAACTAGCTCCCTTACACTGCTGCATATGCCCATGGCATTCTAAACTGTCCACTATAGTAATATTTGCAATGTGTCACACTCTGAGTTTTTTATATTTTAAAATTTGCTGAATAAGAAAGAAGGGTATTTGTGTTTTAAAGGGGGAAAATAAAAATCTCTAAGAAAAAATAACATTGTAGCAAATAGAGGTTGATAACTATTCTGTGACTTTTCACTTCCATTTCAACTTCTATGAATGAGTGACTCTAAAAATGCTGTAAAGTTAGGATGATAAAGTACATTGTATGAGTAGATTCAGCATGACTTAACCCTCCTCTCTTTCCTTCCCAGCTGCTCCCATCCCCACCTATATCCCTTCTACAGGGTCCCCCAAACCTAGATCACATAGTGGGTGGGGAAGGGGAACTCCTGTTGTGCAAGCAAATCTGCTTCGCAAGTGGTCCGGCACAGTTGGGTGTCACCCATTGTCATTAATGATATCCTTTTGAAACTTCCCAATTCCCATTCCTTTTAATAAAAAAAAAGGAAGGATGGATGGATGGATGGATGGATGGAAGGAAGGAAGGAAAAAGCTAATGTTGAGTTGCAACTTCATTTTTATAAGCCTACTTGTTTTGAGTTAAGGTAACCATCTTGCTACAAAACCTGTATGAGTCATAGTGTTCTGTAAGTTGGCATGGATAGTCTCAGTAAACACAATAGGACTGTTGCTCTTTATGATTCAGCTGGCTGGGATACTGCAGAAGCACCAGAATTTTCTATTCAATAATACTAAGTGCAGCATCTGAATTGTTGTGAGGGTGAATGGGCATTCCCCAGCCTGGTGCCTTCTAGATGTTGTTGGATTCTAACCTCCATCAGCACCAGCTGGAATGTCAAATTGTCACAGATGACAAAAGTTGTACTCCTAAGAACTAGAGGGGACCAGGTTGGGGAAGGCTGTGGTAGACCATTAGAGACTGTCACTTTTAGCATATTTTTTTCACAGTGTAGTGGCTAACTGGAAGTGTGATTTCAAAGTGATTTGGTCTTTGATCTTAACCCCTTTAATGTTAAGTAAATGAAAATTTGACTTCACAGCTTTGATTCCATTTCCAATTGTGTTAACTGTATTTCTGCATTAAGTAAAGTGTGTGATTTGTATAGCAGTATTCAATGTTTTTAATCTAGAACCATAAATGTTCTTCCTTTGGTTTAAATGAATGTTTAAAGATTCTAAATGAAGGTGGCTAATTTTGCCTGCTTTGACCTAGGATTTTAAAGTTTGTCATATAAAATTGCTGCACAGCAGGGAAGAGGAACCTGTGGCTTTCCAGATGTTGCTGGATTACAGCTCCCATCATCCTTGATCCTTAGCCATGCCTACTAGGGCAAACGGCAGATGAAATCCAACATTTGGAGGGGCACAGGTTGCCTAACACTGTTTGGTCCAAATCATAACCTGTTGTATCTAGCCTATTCCACTATATAGATTAGAGATTCTTACTAGTGGGGGTTCTCCATCAAATAATTGTTGTTTTAAAATTTTTAATAAGTAAGTATTCATAACTTGAGGTAAGATTAGTACATATCTTCAGCTGGTGTGCCTACACATGCACCTGCATTTTGCTTATACATAGTTTGATTTAGAATTCAGGAAGAGAAGCTCTTTACTATATATTTTTTAACATTCAGTGACTTCCATGCCTGATGGAGAACAAACAGAATTGCACAGAGTCCTCTTCAAATTGTTCCTTGAGGCAGGTGTCCTACTCTGTAATCCATTAAGAGTCTTGCAGCTTGTGATTTGCATCTAGTGATGTTAAAATCAGATTTATGAAACAGATCATTTTGGGGCCAGAACATATACTTGTTTCTACTCTTGACTGCCATAAGAAAGTTTTTGCTGGGATTGGTAGAGAGTTTATAGTACACAGAAGTAGTACTCTCCAGCCTGTAAGTGCTGGTAACCAGGTTATGTCACCTCAACCAGCCTACAGGAAATATACTAACATTCTTGATTTATGTATTTTTAAAATGTAGCAATTTTATTTGCAAGTTCAAAAGCTTATTTAATGATTCTGTTAGTTCCTCCTTCAGATCCACTGTCAGTTGGCATGGCACTGCTACAGTATATTTATTAGGACTTTTGTTTTTATGTTTCTAATGAAAAGCCAGCCAAAACATTTTTAGTTCCTACAGCAATACAGCCAAGCCTTATCCAGGTCTGAAAACTATTAGAAGTATTATTTACAGGATCAAGTAAGCCAGAAAACAAGAAAAGATGTTAGTTTTTATTTATTTAAAAAGAGAACTGCTGTTAAGAATAATACATCTTGAAATACTTAAAACAGAACACTGCTTGCAACAGCCAAGGGGAAACGGGAATGTCATGAGGCCAAGAGAAGGCATTTTTAGCCAATTGCATCATTTCTTCTTGTGCATGTAGAAGCTTCATTGTAGCCTTTGCTGCTCTACTATGATCATATAGCTGAGTCTTGGCTGTGTATACATCATGTAGCCTCACTTTTTGCAAGCAGGTGGTCCACGATCCATGATGGAATGCTATTGCAGGCTTAAGTTAGTTGGTAGAGTTCTGATAAAATCCTCATCGTTTCAGTTGGTAAGTTTTATTCATTTTGTGTGCCAGTGCAGGGTACGTATGGCCATAAGCTTGCATTGTTTATCCTAGCTGAAGTATTCTCTCATTACTTGTACATATTGTGCATAAACAATTGGAAAGGCATGTCTACTACTTAAAATGAAAAAGGTTCAAAACAAACAAGGCTTACTCTTTGTCTGACAACAACCAGATGTTGTATGTACGTCAAACTTAGCCTAAATCTGTTTTACTAGTTAAACAAACATTTTTATTCAGGGAGATGGCTCACCTTTTGTGTTAATCGGATTTTGAAGTTCTGGTCCACAATTGTTTTGAAAATGTGCAACTAAAGCAGTCAAGTGACTTGAAATTATACATCTCTCAGTAATGTCTCGCTAAAGATCCTGTGAGTTCTCTGTGACTCAGTGTGACTCAGAAGTGGTAATGGAAAATATGCAAGTGATATCTAACCCATTCATCCATTGTCTGTTTGCTTTTTTTGAATATACCTTACAGATTTAGGACTCTTCTTTGTTTGCCAGACCTAGCTAGTTCATTATTTCATTTGTTCATTCATTCATTTGTTATATTTATGTTTTGGTCCTATCATTCCAGTAAGGCAGTAGTTTTCAGACTGTTCTGGTACCTCAGGACCCTGGGGTTCCTTCCAAGTTTAGGCTTCTCAGTGCGAAAATCAATAATGGCAAAGTTCCCTGGAAAGCAACTTTCCACCATAATTGTTTTCCCCCTTTTATGTATACCCCTAGGGGAGTATTGAGTGTGTTTCCAAATGCACTCTTGAGAATTGTCAATGTACTTTGAACTCGCTGTGCATAGGAGAACATGCTCTAGAATCCCTTGCAATTTGGAAGAGTTCTTCAGCAGATAAATTGGTGCGGAAAGGATTCTAAAAGCTTTAAAATAAGTGCTCTAAAACTGGATTTGGCGTGCATGTGGTTCTCACATGTTTTCAGGAAGTGGCTTAGGCCAATCTGGTGGCAGCTGCATCCTTTTTGAACCAAGCTGGCCAAATCACCCTTGTATAGAGCTGCCAGTTAAAATCCTACTGTAGCTACTTACTTTACAAAAAGAAAACAAAAGTTTTAGCATGGGACTTACTTGACCACAGAGGTAGATAGTTGCTTAAGGGTCCCCATTTCAAGGGGTATTTGCCACAATGGTCTCTCCCCCTGACCTCAGCATATCTGATGCTGTCAGCATTCTCCACAATTCTCTGTGAGGATATACAACCTTCTGGGACACTGTTGATATGAGGTTGCCTGTGTCTTTTCCCACCCAAGGTGTTGAAAAGAAAACTTGAGCCACACCTGGGCAGAACATTGTGAAGTGTACACCATTTGGAAATGTACAAATTCCGTTGCAACAAACAAAAATATGTTTGCAATGTATTGAACATTTAACCTCTTTTATGCCTTTTTTATCTGAAAGTTTTACAAGAGGGTTGTATGTAAGTTATGGGGACAATTCTAAAGTCTGTTTTTGCCTTTTTATTACTTAGATTGCTGTGAAATTACAACTGGAATCTAGAAGTTTGTAGAATTGGATCTGTCTTATTTAGTTGAGCAGTGGCTATAAATTCAGGCTTGTTGGGCTGAAAGTCTTACAGAAACACAGAATTGTGGGAATAGTAGTCTCACTTCCTTGCTCACTTTCTGTGGCCACACTGAGCACTCCAGAATTCACATATCTTCATTAAACTTGTTTATAATATTACTTTTCATGAAATGAACAGAGCTGAATTAACAATCAGGAGCTCTTCTTCACCTTTCACTTCTGGTTTACCCCTGAATGTGAAAATGTAATATATATGTTAAAGGTGTTACCTTAGGATAATGTCATCAACTATTAACCTGCAATCATGCAGAAGAAAAGCTATGATCACCCTTGAGTTCAGTCATCTCTTGTATTTTGCAGCAAAGTGATGTAAGTATGGTACATAGTACTGGTGATCTGAAATGCATATTCTAGGTGGAGTTTGCTTACAGCAAACAATTGTAAGCTGACTTGTAGGGTGAGGTAAATATTTCAGCCCAAGGCAGCTTACAATTGATCTTTTAAAAAAAGGATTTCAAAACCGTGTCTAGGTATGGTAAGCACTTTGGTGCTACGTTCAGAATGCACACTGGATATACTATGATGTATTGCAGAGAGAATCTCTTAATCAAAGGTTTTATTATGTCCTAGAATATAGGAATAATTTCAGAATTTTTTAGACTGTGAACAGCAAGCGTAATTAGCAGTATAGCTTTTAATTAGACTTGTTCCAGTCATCTTTTAATTCCAGTATATCTTTTTTGTTCATTATGCAGGAGCCCTTACCAAAGTGAAGGAAAGTAAGCGGCATGTAGAAGAAGGGAAGATGGAGGTTCAGAAAGCCGATGGCATTCAGGATCGTTGTAACATTATTTCTTTTGCCACCCTGGCAGAAATTCACCATTTTCACAAAATTCGAGTGAGAGACTTCAAATCACAAATGCAGCATTTCTTACAACAGCAAATACTTTTTTTCCAAAAAGTGACACAGAAGTTAGAAGAAGCTCTTCACAAGTATGACAGTGTTTAATATGCTTAATTCTTGGACTTTAAATAATGGATATTTCTAAGCTTGTGGATGGAATGAACAACGGATACAAACTCCACACTCAAGTATCTCCTGACACCTTTTGGGATGGTGTACAAGGATGATTTTGTAATATGTTCTGGAGTCCAACTGAACCTAAAATTGCCTAAGGAGGACATAATTATGCCTATATAGTGGAGACTGTACTACACATTGTAACTAAGTTATACTCAAAATGCCTACACTACCATTGTAATGTTTTTGAAATAATGATTATACTATTTGCCTTACTGCTTTTTTGAAATACGGTATTTTAGTGCATAATATGCTGTAGACCTCAAAACCTTTTGGGTCTTTAAGGAAGTTGGTTAGATAAAAGCCTGCTTCAGATGCCTTTTTAAAATTCTCTTCGGTATGAATTTTTAAATTCAGCCAATTCTCTGTTTACAAATTCCTGTTAGAGCAGCTATGCGATTTTGTGCCTTTAGAATTACAGTTTTTCATTATTATTATTTTCTAGTAAACCACATTTCTATGACTGATTGAATGAAGGGTTGGCACCTCTGATAGGGCCTGATTTCAAACCTCACAGTGACTGAAAAATAACTTGTCATGTAACTTGCACACCTAGGTATTATGATAATTTTTGGCTGGAAAAAACCCAGGATTTAAAATCATTTTAGACTTTGTGCTGATTAAAAATACTATTTATTATTTGTATCAGAATCTTAAATCTACAAGCAAGAAATCAGCACTGCTGTATTTCCTTTATTAACATGACAACGTAAAATATTTCACTGTAACATGTCTTTGAATAGAAACTTTGGACCACTTATCTAATAAAAGAATACTGAAGTATATCAGTGGGATAAGAGTAGAGGATCAGTGGCTCATATTTGTATGTATGTATTGTTTGTGAGAATTGCTTAGCGTGGCAGCTGATTTATTTGGTTATAAACCTGGTGTTACATTGTCAACTGAAATTTGCAGATCACAATTTGCCAGTGTGGCCAAACCAGTCACACTATCCTAAAACTGCCTCTGTAGGAGTGTGCTTTGTAGCATAATATGCCTTGGCTATCTGCAATATCAGCAGTGGCATTGTAGTGTGCCTAAGGACTTACCTAAGCCCCACAATTAATTTTTTTAAAAAATAGTTCCCCTAATTGTAATTTCTTAAGTCAAATAACAATAATTTTGAAATACTGTCTTTATCCTATAGGTCTGTTTCCTTTTAATGTAATTAACTAACCCACAGAAGGACCCAACTGGTTCTGCAAGCCAAAGGGGCTTTGGATTTTAGTTCCTTAAATAACAACCACTTGTACAGAAACAAACAAACAAACAAACACCAGCAACTCCTTTAATCAGTTTTAAAAGTAGGTCTGCTGCAAACAAAAAAGAAAACAAAAATCCTTGTGGTTGTGTGGCCCCATACATTCATAGGACAAGCTTACTTTCAGCTTTAAAGCAACTGCTAATATGGAACTTTGCAACTCTAGTAGCACAGGTGTGGGAACAATATCACCCATACAAGAAAATTTACCAGGTTCTTTCTCTTATTAACTACATTTTTTATGTATGTGCATGTTGTATAAAGGGGAGAGGGAGAGAGAGAGTGAGTAATGGCAATTCATCATGTTGACATAACAAAAGTCAAGCTTGTAAGTTTTGCTGTAAGATGAGATAGTAGTTGTTCCATGGCACTAGTCTTCCTGGTTTCGCTGTTTTGTTGTTTCATTTCCTGGTTTTAACCAAGGAAGGGAAAAAATGCAGTCAAAAGACAAATTCCCCATCTAATCACACAATGGGGTTACCTACTAAGTCTGATGATTTAAAGTAAAGAAATAATGTGAGTACTTCCGTAAATATTTGTGCATTGTGCTTTATCATATTTTTACTTCCAAACTATGCTAGAGTATCTTGAAACAAATCTATGTGACATTGTACATCCTACTGTACATAGGATACCTTGACTACTAGGAATTTGTCCTGTGACCAACAAGCTGAGGATGAAGCACAGCCTTTGAACCTACCATGCTCAGGCATGCATACTAGGTTTGGGGGGCATTTTTCTTTGGTCTTGTGGATTTTTTATTTGCCGAGGAAGGTTCTTTAATTCCTTATGCAACAATCCTTCAGCTTCTGGCTCTTTTATTGGACACTTATCCAGCGTATATTATGTTTGTCTTTCATCACTGTTTTTCATGGATTCATCACGGATACAGGGAAAAGATGAAGAAAATTAACTTCTAATGCTAAACTGATGTGCGGACTCCAAAGCTTTAGTCTTGCTCCCCCCCACCCCCCCGAACAGATTATGGGGCAATCTAGTTTACTAGGAGTGCATGTCTTTCAGATGTTTAGCAGGCCTGCCATTACACAGAGCAGGCCAAAGTTGCTGTGATGTGTGAAGATGGTGCACAAATCAACCTCTGTATATTTTTATTTATAACAACCATTTTATATGCCATCATTTTGGGCACAACTCAACATTATAAAAACATCCTAAGATCAACAACCAAAGCTAGTAAAGGCATCAGTAGCAGCAGCATTAACTGCCACTAAAACCCTTTAACCTTAAGCATAATAAAACATAGGCGAGACTAAAATAAACATAAGAGCCCTGCTTGATCAGACCAAAGGTCTATCTTGTTGAGCATCCTTTTCTCAAATTGACTAGTCAGATACCTATGGGCCACATGCAACTTTAGAGCAACAGCTCTCTTCCCCACTTAGGAATCATAGCAACTGGTATACAGTATATTGCCTCTGACAGTGGAGGTAGAGCATAGCAATTGTGGCTCATATCCATTAATGAATTTGTCTTCTACATCTTGTGGAAGCAAAATTCATAATTTAACTGAGTTGTGAGAAAAAGTTCTCTGAAAAGATTCTGATACAAAGACAACCAGTCCTTAAATGACAATTCTTTAAAACTGGTATACAATTATGCAGCGTTGAGGGTCAGTATTCCTCAAGTATTCCTCAGAACCTCTGCTTCGTTCTCCAGTGTCCACGACAGACATGTTTGCACCGTCATTTAAGTGGGAACACATTATTTTTAGCTGAAAAGAGATTCCTTCCATGAGATCTGCAGACACAGTGAAAGAGGCCTGAAGAACAGGTTTGAAGGGACTTTAGCAGCATTCCCTCTGCATAAAAACTCAGGGCTTTCCCCCACTCTCCTTTGAACTTTCCTTGTGATAAAGGCCAAGCAAATAGATTGTTCCATGAGTTATGTATGCATATGGGGCATTGAGTAACACTGTGGCTTTCATTTTAGTAAGTGTTGTCACTGGATCTTCCCAGCAAATTTAGGATGATAGTCAGATTTTAAAAACCCAAGGGAAGGGGAGTGAACATGTAACTTAGCTTAGGGATAACTGTTCATATGGTTGCATTCCGCAACTTGTTACTGTTTTCAATGGAATGTTTTCCATTGCCAGTGACCACAAGTTAACTGTTGCTCGGAACTTCTTGTTTCTTTTAATGGGAAATGGGTAACTTTTCATGTTGAGCTGCTTCTCTCCCTAAACACTGAATGATACAGTGGTACCTCAGGTTACAAATGCTTCAGGTTACAGATGCTTCAGGTTACAGACTCCGCTAACCCAGAAATAGTACCTCGGGTTAAGAACTTTGCTTCAGGATGAGAACAGAAATTGCGCTGCAGCAGCAGCGGCAGGCCCCATTAGCTAAAGTGGTGCCTCAGGTTAAGAACAGTTTCAGGCTAAGAACGGACCTCCAGAACAAATTAAGTTCTTAACCCGAGGTACCCCTGTACCGTGCTAAGAACAGATGTGGCTTCTTAAGTACACTGAAGTGTGCCTATACGATTTGCTTTGCTGAATTCAGTGCATGGTTGTGCTGTGTCCACAGCTTATGGTAGGGGACAGACTGGATTTCAGACAGTTGTGTTTATATCTTTTCAGTGGACTGACCTGCTACAATGCTATAGCAAGCCCTTGAGTCTTTCAGAAGACTCATTCACACATTACACTGAACACAGGTACAATCTGTACAGATGTATGAGTGTTCGTGTGTAAGAGAATATGCTTGTTGATTTTCACAGATCAGCTGGTGGGTACATAGGTATGCAAACTGTACATTTGGTAAAGGTTACATGTGAATAACTACAAGTGCACAGCTCAGATGTCAGTATACACAGGTACACAGATTGTACGATGGTTGGATGTAACGTGAACACCCCTGAAGACATCTTTATTCTAATGTAATCGGGGTGGCAGGAGATAGTGACCAAGTGGAATTGAACTCCCTGCACATCAGAATTAAAGAACTTTCATCGGTAAATAACAAATCCACAAGACCAAAGAAAAATACCCCCCAGACCAGTTATCATTCTCACATTTTGCCCTGTCTTATCTCGGAACATCCTCCTTCAAATGGATGGGCACATTTAAAACACATTTATGGTTTGTTTCAATACACGAAGAAGAAGAAGAGGAGGAGGAGGAGGAGGAAGAGTTTGGATTTGATATCCCACCTTTCACTCCCCTTAAGGAGTCTCAAAGCGGCTAATAATCTCCTTTCCCTTCCTCCCGCACAACAAACATTCTATGAGGTGAGTGAGGCTGAGAGACTTCAAAGAAGTGTGACTAGCCCAAGGTCACCCAACAGCTGCATGTGGAGAAGCGGGGAAGCAAACCTGGTTCACCAGATTATGAGTCCACTGCTCTTAACCACTACACCACTACTATAGCCAAAGTAACTCTGCTCTTTGGACATCTGTGACATCACAGCAGCAATGGCCAGTGAACTAGAAGTTAATGAGCAGCATTTGCTCACTCCAGATTTTGTCTTTTGGGAGTTTCTGGTTGTTTTTCGGCAATGGCAAAATTGCTGTGTTTGTTTTGGTCTTTTTTGTAATTTTTCACACTTTGTGCTTTAATTTGACATCTCCGTATCTGGTAGCAGCAGCCACAGCTTGCCCTTATGACTGTGGGTGCCTGGGGCCACATGCCATCACTGGGACATGTGCTCATGCTACCTCAGCACTTTGTGGGTGTCTTGTCCCCCCCCCCTATTTAAAATATTGAGGGGACTAGGGCACCAAGGAGTTGGTGTGCCTGTCTGGTAGCAATAAAATGCACACAAAAATCCTGTTTTCCATTCAAGCCTTATGGCACTAGTGGGACAAAATGAAATGCTGAATCCTATGTATGTTGGTCCGACAGTAAACCCTACTGGAGCTTACTCCCAAATCAATGTGCTTAGGATTGCAACCTTAATTATTTTGAACTGTTGTCATTAAACATAAGGTTCCACCCTGAGAGCTCTCCCAAGTGGAAGGTTGCAGTCTCATTGTAGTTTTGATTGGGCCATAGCAATATTGTCTGCTCGTTGTTTTATTTTAAATGCATTGTTACCCAGCTTGATCTCTTGGAATGGTGAAGTAGCCAAACCTAAAAAAAATAGTTCAGCTAATATTAAATGGAAAGAGTTATACTTGGCAGTTGTGGAAAGTAGGAGCCTGTGGGGAAATGGAGCAAAGATACAAAAATGCCTGGCAAGCTGGAGACCTTCCAGGGCAGACTTCTAAGAACCATCTGAACACTCCCTGATTCATGTAACTAGCAGGGCACGTGACTTTACAGTGGTTCGCTTAAAGCCTCTTACAGCTGACCTTTGTTAAGACATCTTTTAATTGTGCTGACACTTTCTGATGACTAAAGAGAACACGAGGTTTTGTGTTCTCCTGTGATTACTCATGCACCAGGAACCTTGTTAGCACCAACCTGGCAGTAAAGAGCAACTCTTACAACACACTGTCTGGTTTCCTGCATTCCTGCTGTTGGCGCCTCTCCAAATTCAACCTCCCACGTGAAAAAGAAAACTGAACACTTTGATTGGATTGCAGCAGTTTGCTCTGAAAATTTGGGAGCTTTTGCAGTGCAACAAATAAAGTTGATCCAGAATCACAGTTACATACTTTGATGTGTTAATTAATTGAGGTTAGACAAGTGTGTATGTGCTCTAACAAAGCAATCATCCCAGGCCTCACACATTTTTCAGCCAAGGCTGTGGAAGTGTTTGCAATAACACCAACTTGCTGAGATTTCACTATGTAGACATCAGCCAAGCCCTCATTCCTGTGCCAAAGTAAATAGTCATATAGTTTTGTATTGCATTAGTATGTACAGCACAGCCTTATGGGAAGGTTTCAAAACTTTGAGTGTGCCCATGTTTATGTTGCTTTTATAGACTAGATTTTAATGGGGTTTGCATGGGAGTTCAGGTTTATGTAATGAAACAATAGAGATGTTTCTGGTGTCTTTATGGGGGTCCTGCTGTGCCAAAGTAATGATTCCATTCCTCATCCTGATTCATGGTCAGCATTTCATGCTTCAGAAATTATATGAGCCACAGTAAAACTCATGAACACTTTAATGCCAATGGTGGGCAATCCAATAAAAGCTGGGGGAGGCTAAAGCTCATTTAAATCAATGGGACTTAAATACAGGGTGTGACCGGAAAGTTCGGTGAATGATCACAGAAATTGGACAGCGAGAAATATTTGAACATGCAATCGGCATCGAAGACACACGAAATGCTCACAACTGTGTACAGAGATGAAGCTGTAACTCGAAAGACAGTGTATGAGTGGTTTAAGCATTTCCATGAAGGGTGGCAAACCATCAAAGATGACTCGGTCTGGCAGACCGTTGATGAGCAGAACGGCAGCAAATGTCAACAGAGTTTGTGAGATATTGATGCGGGATCAGCATTTGTACATCCGAATGATGGCGGAAGAATGGCATATTCTGCATGAAATTGTTACTGAGGTTACTGAGTTGTCCCACCCTCCTTATTCTCCCGATCTGGCCTCACCGGAT